AAGCCTCACACCTCAGCCAAAATTCGCTCACCTCCTAAATCTACGACTCATCCTACTCGACCACCACCACTAGCAGCTGCAACGAAGGCATCAATCGCTAGGCAACCCGTTGCTAGTGCCACTCGACAGCTGGACCGCAAGTCACCTTCTTCCAAAACGACGAAAGCAGCACCTAAAGCTGCCACTTCCAGCCTAAAGCCGAAATCGTCGTTGATTTCTTCGTCAAAGTCTCCACACAAACCACCATCAACAGCCACTGTAAGTAGCTGATAGCTGCCTATCATCTAACCGTTAGTAAGAGAAGTTACCGTTTGGTTTTGCTATTTCAGGTTTCTGCATTTTCACCTGCGTTGAATCGCACTTATGCATTTATGGACGATGATGATGCTGATGCTGACGATGATGTCGAAGGCGAGGAGACCAAACGTGAGACTGGAGAGGGACAATCAAATGTGGCGCCCAAATGGCAGTCGGTAATTCAAGAGAAGCGAAGGATCACTCTGGAACGTGTAAATGGATGCGGCGATGCGCTCGTAGCTAAGTCGAAGGTGGTGGATGAGGTGGGACAAATCGAAAATGAGCATGAAGAGGAGGATGCGGAGGGAGAAGAGGAGGGGGAGATGAAGTCGAATTCAGCTAATCGTATGGATAAGAAAAAGAATGTTGTAAGAGTGTGATTAGGTTTTTCTTCAATAATTTCTTGTTTTACTGCCTTTGTTTAACTACTGGTGGCTGATTAGTGATGGATGAAGTGGATCCGGCATTCGTAGGCTCCTTAATTGAGAAATTGATGTGTATTTATTAATTTGCTTTTTTGCATTACTTGGATGAAGTGGGAGGTCGTTCATTCTCCTTGAAAATGTCATCCCAAGAAGCCATCACCAGTCTTCTCACCTCAACAGCATCTATCCACGCGTCGGTGTGGACTAGACCCCTCTGAGTGCCTTAAGTGGACCATGAAGGGAGGCTGAGTGGCCACATTGCGTATGGGTTGGGGAGAGTGTTCACCTCTTTAACTCACATAGTCTACTTCCACATCCCGTTGCTAGGTTACTTTTGTGATTGTAATGCCATCGGAGGACCTGTCTGGAGACCTGTCCAAAATTGAAAAGCCATAGGCGCATCTTTGAGGAGGCAAAGTGTCTTGAATCACTTTTTTTTAGGCTGTTATTATTAGCCTGATAATATTGAGTCTCTTGATTTGAGGGATCTTCTTTACATTGACAGAAAGTTCCTTAAAGCATTCAAGGAGGTTTATCCACCCTCCTGGATAGAAGGGTCAACTTTGAATCATTGATAAAACGTGCAGACTCTTTTCATCTCTCCCCTCCATAGACTACTCTCTTCTCTCGTCTCGGAATCCGTGGCACCAAGCAGCAGAAGCAACAACAACGCCCAGTAATTGTGACTCCGTGGCGTTCTGAACCGTCGGACGACAATCCCGCTTCCTCATCCTCAACTGTTGCTTTGGCCACTTCTAGTAGCCTCACTGCCTCACCTCCGTCGAGGGAGAAAAACAATCCTCTGCAGATGTGGCCATCAATCGCTAGTCTGCATTGCATCGGTTGGGCCAAGGTTACATCAAGCTACACGCCTCAAAAATCCGGCGAACTGGCATTGCTGGAAGGTGATTTATTTGCTTGTTTGATGACTTTGAAATGGCTTTGGAGGTTTGAAGGTGTTCCATTGTACGATGCTCGGCTGCGAAGGCTGCTGTCCACACCTTACCTGATGTCTCGGTACGATGTCTAGCCACTGGGATCAGGACTAGCGTTTTCTTTGTAACGTCACCATTGAGGCACCAGTCGACGTAGTGCTGACAAGCGGAGAAAAGGCGTTTCACTTGGAGACTTAAGACGATG